AGAGCCTCCAGGAGCACCGGGTTCGCCTCCCCCGCCCAGTCTCTAATTAAAGTTGTCGTGACCGTCCCCCAGCTGCGTTCTCTGGGTCGGGGGAAGCGCGCTGAGGGTCGTGGAGCCTGCAGGGGCCCAGCTCCGGGCCGTGGCGGTCCGCGGGCATGCCGGAGGGCAGCTGGGTGGGGTCGCGAAGGAAGGGCCTCCCCCGGGACCGGGCGCCGTCTGGTCTCCTGCCCTACACTCAGTCTCCGCCGCAACACGCCCGGCCGGCCCGCCTCTGCCCAGGGCGCGCGTTTCCTCCGGGGGTTCACCCCACGGCTCCCCTCCCAACGCTCAGGCTCTCTCCTCACCTCTCCCCCTCTCTGGCCTCCCCTCGCTGAACGGCGGACACGGCAGCCTGTCGGTCTCTCCCCAGGTTTTGCCAGCACTGGTTCCCAGCGTCTGGGACAGTGTAGGTGTTCGGGACAGCCCTCCGAGAGAGACCACAGGGCAGCCGGCACGATAGGCAAGTATCAGTGACAGTGCCCTCAAGAGAATGGCCAGGTGCCTTGGGGGACCACAGCATCTCTAAAGAAGTGACTTTTAGGCCAGGTGCAGTGACTTACACCTGTAATCCTGGCACTCTGGGAAGCTAAGATGGGAGGATTGCTTCAGGTCAGGAGTTTGAGACCAGCCTGAACAAGAGCCAGACCCTGTATCTATTATACAAAAAATAGAAAAATTAGCTGGGCATGGTGGTGTTGCGTGCCTGTAGTCCCAGCTACTTGGGAGACTGAGGCAGGAGGATCACTTGAGCCCCAGGAGTTTGAGGTTGCAGTGAGCCATGATGATGCCACTGCACTCCAGCCTAGGTGACAGAGCGAGAGACCGTCTCAATCAACCAGTCAATGTAAATAAGTGCCTTTCAGCAAGGCTGCAGAGGAACAGCTTCCCAAGCAGGGACAACAGTGCGTGCAAAGGCCTGGGGTGGGCTGGAGACCCTAAAGGTGTCAGAGACCAGGGACCAGAGAGGAGCAGAGTCTTGGGGACCCAGAATGAGGACAGAGCTGAAACCCACGAAGCAGGGTAACAAAGAGGTTGGGAAATGCCTTCGGCTTGAGGGGCAAAGGGAAGGCCTTGTCTCAAGCAGCCGGAACCAGCTGGAGCCAGATACTCGGAGCACCAACGATAGAACAGCGGGGGTTCCTGACAGGGCAGGGGCAGCTTTGGGTGCCTGGACCCGGATTCTGGGTGGGCTCTACCCGTGGGTTACCGACTGGCTGGCTCAGACCCTCCTGTGAAATGGGGGTGAGGGCAACAGAGATGCTTGCTGGGAACACTGGGAAATGCCACCAGAAGTAGCAGCTGCTATACGTGGGGTGGCCCGGCAAGGCTACTGGGCACAGGCCAGACACGTGAAGCGAAGCGAAGCACAGCACAAAGGCAGAGGTGGAGTTGTCCAGAGCACTCGTGTTTGAGGCACGCACTTCGTTAATCCTTTATTACAAGTCACGCTCTTAAGAAGTATATGTGGACTTACGTGAAAAAATCAAATGTATCCAAGAATAAAAAACACAGCACATAAAGTAGTATCTGCATTCCAGTGTTCCCGCCAGAGACAGTGGCACCCAAGAAAAAGCTCTTCTAAAACAGCCTGACGGGAGCCAGCCGGGTGCGAACGGTTCCGGGTGGCGCGGGCCGGCCTCAGGCACAGTGTGGGGGCCGCCTGCCTCCTCCCGCAGCCCGGCGGGCTGGCAGCACCAGCTCCTGGGGCCTCCGGGCCAGCGGGACCCCAGGCCGGCCCGAGCCCGCTCCAGGCCCAATCCTGCGGCCTGGGCAGCGTGCCTGGCCCTCCGGGGGCAGCAGCGACGACATCCCTGGAAACGTGGGCTCCAGGCCGATCCTCAGTGCACCCTCAGAAGACCTCCCTTAGTCGGCCTTTTTCAGGAAGATCTAGAAGAGTCAGACTAAGGGTCAGCGGGCCTGAGAGCTCTGCCAGGGCTTTGGGGGTTGTGCCCCGTGCGTGCCCGGCCCCACCTCACCTCGCTCAGAATGACCCACACCGGAGAGTCGGTCTGGATGGAGAGGCGCAGGGCTTCCAGGGGACCGAAGGCAGGGTCCACCTCACCCTCTGCCACACCCTTGTAGAAGGAGCCTAGGGGAGGGCAGTGCTGAGAGGGCAGCCCCCACACCCCAGCCCAAACAGGGCCTACCTGCTCAGCCCAGCGTCTGCTCTCCCCACCCCCACTCACCGATCTGGAGGTAGCCGTCGGGGCTCCGTGGGTACCGGAGAGTGGCTGAGCGGCCCTCCTGCAGGGCTTCCTTGTCCGACTGGGGGTTCTAGGGACACAAAGGGCTGAAGCAGGTGGCCAGGGGAGGGCCAGACCTCAGCACGCGCCCACACCCTTCCACACTCACGTCGAAGGGCAGCACCTCCACGGACGTGTTGAAGAGCTTGTCCTCCGGGTGCTCGATGTTGCCGCTGCGGAAGAAGAACCTGCGGCCAGGCAGGCCCGTGAGCTCCTGCAGGGCCGGCACCCCGGACACGCCCGGGCCCCAGCGGAGCAAGGCCAGGCCCGGGCCAGGAGCACACCAGGTGGGCACCAGGGCAGCCATCAGGCTGTGCAAGGCGACCAGAGCCTTTCTCCGGGACCGTGGTGACAGGCAATGGCACTGATTTGTTATGTGCAAGGTAGCTACCCTTAGGAGCCCCAGTTTTCAGGTAAGTAAACTGAGGCATGGTGAGGATAAGTAATTTGCTGGGGGCACCTAAAGACCTAGACATTTGTGGTGAGGCCTATACCTGGTGGCCACCCAGCCCCTGCCCCCAAAGCGGGCCTCTGGGTGCGGGCACTGACCGCTCCAGGCGCAGCGGCTGGAAGAAGCGGAAGCGGATGAAGTCCCCTGCGGCGGGGGTGAAGGCCCAGAAGAAGTCCTCGCGCAGGTAGGCTTTCTCCAGCGTGAAGTGCTGGTACGTCTTGAGGCTCGTGCTCACCTCAGCCGGCGGGTTCACGTGCTCCTTCCGCAGGGCCTGCTTCCCGAAGTCCTTGTCCTGCGGTCACAGCGGGACGCGGTGCTGGCGCGGCCCCCACCCCAAGCCGCCCCAGCCAGCTCCGCCCAGGGTGAGCGCGGGGCGCAGCCCACCTTCAGTTTCTGGATCTTGCCTGCCAGGGAGGAGTGCGTGCCCACGTGCTGGAAGAGGGACGGCTTGAAGCGGATCCGCAGGTTGGCCTTCTGCCGGTCACAGTGCTTCTGAGGAGGGAGGGCGACACCCTAGGGCTCAGCTCAGCCTGGCCTCCCGCAACTTGGCCTTGCCCAGCGGCCACCAGGGCCCACCCGTAGCCTGTGGCGCCCTCCTTGTCAGCCGCCAGGAACCGGCCCCTGCTGGCCGCTGCGAGCCGCTGCCCCGTGCGCCCCTGCCTGCCTCTGCGCAGGCCCCGCTCACCGCATCCTTCTCCGGGTTGCAGACTTTCACCCACAGAATGTGGTCCAGGAGCCAGTCGATGGGCTTGTCCCGGTAGAACATGAGGATGAACTCCACAATCAGGCTCAGGTCCAGCGACTTGAACATCTTCCCTGGGGGTGGGACGGGGACGAGGGTGCTGGGTGGGCAGCGCTGCACTGCCCACTTCCTCTTAGTCCCTGTGGGGCCGTCGGGAGGGGCCCACTCCCACAGCAAACCCCGCGGGCGGGCTTCAGGTGGGCGTGGGCACAGGGGCAGGCAGGGGCGGTGGAGGGAGACACCCTCCGTGCAGAGAGAAGACGGAACAGGACAGGCCGGGCCCTGTCGGGGCAAAGGCTATCACAGCATGACACCGCGCAGCACTGGGACGGGCGGGCGGCAGAGAGGCGGGGAGCGCGCTGAGGGGCGTGGCGCGGGGCGCACCAATAAAGCCCAGCTGGGAGAACTCCAGGATCATCCAGTCCTCCGAGGGCTGCTGAAGGGCGAAGTTCTTCATGGTGCTCAGGTAGTGAGGCTTGGCCACGATGTCGTCCTCCAGCTGCACAGGCAGGCAGAGGCGCAGGACTCAGGACGGGCGTGGGGGCAGGGCAGGCCATCACCCAGATCTGACCGGAGCTGGCCAGGTGTGCCGCAGGACGGGGCTCAGCGCCAAGGCCAGTCAGGGACAGGGCGGCGGGGTAGCGGGTCCCAGGGCTGACCTGCACGTAGTAGACGCCCTTGGACTGTGCGTACATCATGAGGAAGCAGTAATCCAGGTTCTGTTTGGTCCTCCACCTGCGGGGCAGGGGCCTCAGGAGCTCAAACCCTCCACCTCCAGGGTGGCCGCTGCAGAGACGCCACCGCGTGGGCAGGCCTGTCCTCCCACCCTCACGTAGGCTCCTCCCGGGGAGACTGGGGAGCGCTGCAGCAAGGGCCGTACGCGGTTCTCAGCGCAGGCGGGGGTCGGGGGGTGCCAATACCTGACTCTCTCCTTGGGGTCCCCAAAGGACTCTCGGAGGCGGGAGAAGTCGGGGTAGAAGTGGGGGGAAGGGGAAATGACCTCCAGGAGTCCCGAGTGGATCTCGGTGGCGAACCTGAGGGGCGGGAAGGCCCAGTGGGCGTGCAGCCTCCAGGGGCCGAGGGGCGCCGAGCCAACCAAACCCTGCCCCCCTCTCGCGGCTCACCAGGCAGACACGAGCCCCCTCCCCACAGAGGGAGGGTGCTGGCGTGGAGGGGAAGCAACCCCTGCCTGCCCGGCACCCCACAGCCCCCTCCCGGCACCGGCTCTCTGGGATGGCCAGTACTCACAGGGCCTTGATGTTCTCCGTCACTGCTGCCGTGTACTGTGGGTCAGTCTGTGGGGAGACCAAACACCCTCCTTCAGCTCAGGGCAGCCCCCCAAGGCCGGCCGGGAGGAAGGGGGAGCGGGAGGGGCGCAGGCTTCAGCTGTGCCGCCTGTGGAGGGAGTGAGCCCTGGTGCCCAGGGCTGAGTAAGTGGGCACAGAGGACCGTGGCGGGGCATCTGGTACCCGGCCTTTCCACGAGGGGGCGCTAAAGTGCTTCTGTCTTTTAAACTTTGTCTTGATAAACTGTGATGAAACTAACGATTGAACTTCTGACAGCTCTTTCCTCGGGAATGATGTTCCGTTTTTATTTCTCCTTCTTGTTATTTTGCGCCACGGGTCTTCCTCGGAATGGCCCCTGGCCCCCACGCACTCGCCTCGGCGATCAGCACCACGATGACGGAGTCCTCCTTCTCCTGCGGGCTCAGCTCCGAGATGAGCGAGTGCAGAGTGTCCGCCAGGTACGAGTGCACCTCACGCCGCACGCTCGGGATGCCCATCACCACCGACACTGCGGGGACACGCAGGGGTGGCACGGGGCGGGCGCGGGGCAGCGCCCCGGCCCCCGCCTCGCACCCCTCCCTGGCCACGCCCTACCTCCAGTGCGGCCCTGGCCCACGCGCACGGCCGGCTGCAGGCTGCTCTCCTTGGCCAGCAGGTGCGGCAGGTGGTGGAAGACAGTGGGCAGGTGCAGCACGTGCCTGTGCGAGACGTTCCACGGCTTCAGTCGCGGGTCCTCTGGGTGGTCAAAAAGGGGCAGATTAAGACGACGCAGCCGGCCTGGCCCCCACCTGGTCCTGCCCCGGAGCTCACCTGTCAGGCGGCCCCAGGTGCGATTGCCGTCTCCGTCTCGCAGAGCCTGCCTCTCCGACACGGCCCTCTTGATCTCGTCCAGCACCAGGTTGAGCTCCTTGGAGCGCTTGAGGCTCTCCTGTTCAGCCGCGTGCAAACGGTCCCGAAGTGCCAGGAACTCCCGCTGGTAAATGTCTACCACGTCGCCTGCAGGCGGTATGCACGCCGTCACCAGGGGGCGGCCTAGAGCTGACCTGCCGCCCACCCCTTGAGTGTGCCGGGGGTACATCTGTGCACTAGCCCCTCTACATCTGTTCCCGTGCCTGCCACACAAGAACATCTGGAGTTACATAGGGCCACTCTAGAGTTGCACTAACACATGCTTGCGGGAGAGAGGCGTCCGCCGGGGGATTAGTGCTCTTCCAGTACTCTGCCCGAGCCGACGAGCCGTCTGAAGCGGGAGCACGGCACGGCTGCCAGCCCCAGGTGGGGCAGCCCTGAGCAGGGGCCGGAACAGCCAAGACGGAACTCTCTTTGCACGCTGGCTTCTAGCCCCTCTTGCTTTGCACGGCACATGCTCCTTCCCGGAGTGGGGGGAGGGGTGCCCAAGGCCCCACCCAAGGGTTGAGGACTGCCCCTTCCTCAAGACCCCAGCCTTCCCCTTCCTCCCTTCAGCCCCTGCCTCCCGGGACGATGTCACGGACAGGGAAACGTGGCCTTGTTAATTAAGTAGCTAACATAAAATAGACTACCAAACGGAAAGAGAAATACACTCTCAGCATATCATTGCCCCTCTGAAGAAAAACGCACTGCACAAGCCCCTTCCTGTTGTTCGATGCAACACCTGGGACCCCAGTGCTGTCTCTGAGGGCTTCCTGAAGAGCTCCGAGCGGACAGCAGGGAGCGAGCCCCCAGCTCTCTGCCTCAGCCGCCGTCAGGACTACATTTCAAGGACTTTGATAAGCCGGCCTCACAGAGAAGGAAAAAAATTAAAAAAACACACGCAACAGTTTCACAGCTTGCTATCAGTTGGCTACAATTACTTTTTTTTTTCTCTTTGTTCCCAAATAACCTGAAACCTCCTATCCTCCCCACTTTCCTGTTGTGGCCTTCCCGCCTTTGAGAAGTAAAATAAACTTTCTTTCCTAAAACTATTCTACTCCTGGTGTGAGAATTCTTTCTCCAGCCCGCACTGTGAGCTCCTGGTGCATCCCCACCCCAAGACAGCACCGTCCCTGCGGCTCTCTGGGGACAGCCAGCCTCCCTAGACTCCTCCTGCCACCCTCCAAATAGACTGAGCCTGGGCACAGGGTCGCTGTCCTCGTGGCTGTCGCTGGTTGCTCACTCTGCACGGGGTTCTCAGCCTCACGGGCTCCCGGGGTGGCAGCCGCAGTTGCGGGAGCCCACCCGCCCCTTGGCTCCGAGGAGCAAACCAAAGTTGAGAAACCAGCCCAGGGGTTGCTCAAGGAGAGTCAACAGCAGCGAAGGGACAAGCTCTGAATGCCCCGGTGTGCGTCTCTGCAGACCTGTGATAAGCCTGGGCCACCTCAGAAAAGGGTCCGCTTGCCAGCCCATGTCCCGCCAGGCCCCACCTGGGTGCTGCTGGCAGTGAGGAGGAATCGCTGGGTGCCAGGCAGCTGGCTGCACTGGTCTGGCAGGGCCCCGTGAGCGAGAGAAAGGTAAACAACATCCGTGCGGCTGGGAGCCGGCAGTTCCCGCAGCTGTGCACTCGGCCTTCGCTCGCCTAGCCTTTGCCCTCCGTCTGCCATTACATCCGCCTGCTTTTCCGTGTCTAACGGCCACGCCTTCGCACGCTGTTGCTCCTGCCGGAATCCCCTCTTGTCTTCCGGACCTAATGAAAACTGTGCAGTGTCTAGCGCCTACTTCCGAGTTGCCCAGTCTAGGAAGCCTTCCAGAACCACCCTGCCCCCAGGCAGCTCTTCTGTTCCTTGACCTCCCTGGGTTCATGGCCCCCAGTGTGCCTTGGGGTGGTGTTGGGCCCCTATGCTTGGTGCAGGGAAAGTCACAACAAGGCAAAGTTTGGTCACTTCGGGACACACCCGCTTCCGCAGCTGGGGCAGAGGTCTAAGTGCTAAGTCCCAGGGGAAGAGAGGGGGCAGCCCAGAGGAGCGAGGGGAGCCAGGCAGATCCTCCGCACCCACGCCCTGCCCAAGGCCAAGGCAGAGCTGGGGGCAGCCCCTGGGGGAGGGAAGGGAGTCGGGTTACCAGATCTGTGATCTGTGAGGCTGAAGCTGGGCTCGAGGCTGGGTTACCCTGGAAACCTGACCCCCAACCCTCTCAGCAGCAGCCCACAGGGACATGGCTGGCAGGACCAGGAGTACCGGAGGTGCTGAGGCCCCGGCGCCCTCAGGAGGGAGCTCAGAGCTCCGGACCGGCCTGGACAGTCCCCACCCACCCCCATGCAGTGGAGCCATGGAGTCCTCTGAGGACTGTGGTTTGTGGATTATGCCCCCGGCCTGTCCGGAGCAGCCCCTGAGGCGGGGCCACTCTGTGAAATGAGGGGAAGGGCAGAGGGCTCCCCGAGCCTGCCTCTGTGCCTTACACGGGCCAAGTCTGCTCAGCATCAGCTCGTCCAGGTCCAGGTGGACAGGCCAGTGGGCGACGCTGCTCTGAATCGCTCTGGGCACCTGGACCCGGGCACGGCTGGCTCCCCACTATGGCCTCCCTTCCCGCCCAGGTCCTTTGTTTATCAGGAGGGGACCAGCCCCCTGGACACCTGTCCATACCAGCCCTTCTGTCATCTCCCTGAACACTGAAGGCCCTGTCCCTGCAAGGCCCCCAGCTTGACCTTGATCCTGGCTTCTCTGATTGTGGGTCCACTCTGTCCTTGCCTGTCAAGGCCAGAAACTCAAGCTCTATGACTGCTTCCCCATGGGCTGGGCCTCATGCCAGGCTCTGCCAGGCCACGCTGACACCCCATAGCCCTCATGGGCCTGGAAGGAGCACAAGTGCTGAGAGGGGCAGCCCAGGAGCCCCTGGCCCTCTGGGTGGGTGGGCTGTGGCAGCGGTTCCTGGAAGCTGCGGCTGGAGGGACTTTGGCTTCTCCTTCCATCCACACCTCCCCGCCCCAGGGAGGTGTGGTGGGGCTGGCCCTGGGAAGGGCTGCAGCTCCGCCAGCTACTGGGAGATACCCCGCAGCCGTGAGGACTGGGGCCTTTCTCACCCTCCTACCCAGGGCAGGGTAATCGGGACACTCCCGGCCCACAAACCACAATGTCCCCCACTGGTTCCCTCTTGGTTGGGGAGACATTAAAGACTAAGCGGGGGCACAACCCTTGCACCCTGTTCTGAGGGAAAGGGAACAGACTCCGAGGGGCACAGGCAGGTGCCAGGCCCAGCCAACGGCCTGCCATTCACCTGCAGGTGGGTGGCAGGTGTTTGCCTCTTCTCCGGGCCTTGCACGCTCCTGGGGGTCACAGGGGGCTGTCCATCATGGCGGAGGTGCAGGCCCAGGGCCTACGGTTTGCACACCGGCACAGCTGCTCCACGAACTTAGCCAAGCAAGGCAGGATGTGAAACTAGGCCCCAAATCCTCCTACAAGGCCCATCTTGCCAAGAGTCCTTCCTGGGCTTGACCCTGGGCTTGACCCTGGGCTTCCAGGATGCCACCTGCTCCTGCTGAATCTTCCTCTCTGGCTCCTGCCCACCTCCTCCCTTCCCTGAAAATTCTGGTTCCTTTGCCTTTCTAGTAAGTACTGGGCCTGCTCCTGAGACCTCTACCCCTGGCAATCTGGAGGCCAGGATCCCATCTGGCTTCAGACTGGCTTAGTCTGGCTCCGCCAGGGACCTGATACAGTTATGTGCATGTAAGAATGAGACGGGTCCACACAATAGCCCAGACTTCTGGCTTCTCTTGAGGACTCCCAAGACCTGGCCCTACTGGCCCCCACAGGAAGAGCGAGAGCCTTTCAAAAAGGCAGGCCCAGATCACCTCTTCTCCATGCCTCCCTGGCTCGTGGGCTTCCGTCCCCGAGGGCAAGGACCCTTGCACCGAAGCCCCTACCCTTCTCTGGCTGGGGGTGCCCTCCTGCTCCCCAGGCCCTCGGATGCCAGCCACCTGATGCCTCTCCCAGGCACAGTAGGCCCTAGATGGAGCCACTTGTAAACCCTCAGTCTGCTGCTCCCTGAGACTGGCTCCCTGTGGCCAGCTGGGCTTCCAGAGGCACACTGGTGGGGCTCCTGACACCAGCCTGAAGGCGTATGGCTGCTGCAGGAGGCACAGGAGCTGTGGAACTGGGTGCAAGGGCTCACCACCGACCCACATGGACGGACGTGCCCTAGCCTTCAGATATGGCCCACCTGGGCCTCCGTGCCAGTCTGCTTTCATGGCCACTCTCCCAAGTGCTAGAATGCCCTCCCGCAGGTGACACACCCTACCTGCAAAGAACTCTGCCCCAGCCAGGCCCTTCCCTGCGCCAGGCCCTAGCAGTTTCCCTGAGTCCCTGGGCTGTGATTCTGACCCTGGAGGCCCAAGGCCAGCCCAGGATTCTACCCCAAGGACGAGTGCAGTAGACTGGGCTGGGCTAGCAGGAGCCCAGCGGGGGTAGCAGGGCTTGGGGGCCAGGAAGGCTCTAGGTCCTCTCACAGCCACGTTTAGTGTGCTGCTGGGGAACAGGGAAGCCTGGTGGGAGAGGGGCAGGTCGGCTGGCCCGGCCTGATCCTGCTTGGGCCTCCAGCAGGAAGGCTGAGGCAGGAAGGAAGCAGCTCTTCCCTGCACCTCCTGTGCTTCAGGCTGGGGGGACAAGAGCCTCAGGCCCCATCGGCCCAAACCACCCCTACCACCAGCGAGTGACTCCAGCCAATGCTGGGGTCTGCTGGCACCCGCCGCCCCCAAGTGTGCCAGCCAGCCCAGAGGGCCTGGGAGCCTGAGCAAGCTTCAGGGGTGGGAGGGGTAGGGGTGGGGGTTGGTCCAGCGGGGCCACCCAAAGTAAGTTACGGGGCAGGGGCTGGGCTGGCCGCTCAGGAGGCCTTCACTTACTCCCACGGGCCGGGAGCCACAGGCCTCCTGGGCTCCCAGGAACCTGCTGAGGAGTCCTCTGGGCCGATGTCACGGACAGGGCTGCAGGGGGCTCCGAGGAGCACCACAGGCAGGAGCAGCACCGGGCTGGGGTGCACAGGAGGAGCGCCTGGCTGCCCCCTCACACCCGTGTGACACTGTGCCTGCTCCCGCCCAGGTAACCGGGGCTGGCGCCCTGCGACTCCCCGGTCACAGCTACCTCCGTGACCTTGCGTCTTGCCCCTCTCCGAAAACTCCGGGTCCTCCGCTCGCCGGCGGCAGCGCCCACCCCGGCATCGGGGAAACTGCGCCCGCGGAGGTCGGTCCCCAGCGCCCCACCGGGCCAGGCCGGGGGGAATCTCGTCGCTCCGGCAGCGACCCAGCGGGCGCGAGGATGGGAGGGGCGTCCTGCCTGGCCGCCCCAGCGGGGAAGGGGCGCCCGCGTCCGCTTCCGGCCGCCGCCCAGGTGCGCCAGGTGCGGGCCGCGCGGCGGGGCTCACCTTTCTGGCCGCCGAGGGCGGCGTACCAGGAGAGCGAGAGCAGGGCGCACAGGCAGAGGAGCAGCAGCGTCAGGAAGGGGCCGTTGCGGAGCCTCATCTCCTCCGGTGCGCGGCGGGCGCCCGCGGGGCCGAGGCCGCATGGCCCGGGGGACCGGGGCCCGGGCGCGGGGGCCAGGAGGCGACGGGGGCCCCGGCCCCGGGGCGCGGAGGGGCTGGGGCCCGGGGCCGGGCCGGGGTGCGGACCGGGCCGGGGACCTCGCAGGCTGCCGCTCCGGGGCGCGCACGGGCGGCCTCGCCTCCGCGCCGGGCCGGGCTGGGCTGGGCTGGGCGGCGGGAGCCGCGGCCCGGCCTGGATCCGGGGCCGCCGCGGAGTCGACAGCGAAGGGCGGGGCGGCCCGGATTTAAAGGGGCCGCAGCAGCCGCCGCCGCCACGAGGGGGCGGGGCAGGGGGCCGCCGGGCGGCCGGGCCGTGGGCCGACGCGGCCGCAACCCCCGGGCCGGCCAAGCCGGGCCAACCCAAAACCGGTCGCGTGCAGCGGAGGCGGCGCGCCCCGAGCCCCCGCACCCCTTCTCCGGAACGTCCTCCTTGTGAGCCCCACACGCAGACCCGGGCCGCCCTCCTCCGGGGACCTCAGGCCCTTGCCGGGTCCCAGGGGGTCTAGCAGGTGGGAGGGGACAGGCAGGGCCCGAGCGGCGTTTCCTGGGCGACTGCGCCCGCGGCACTTCCCGGACCCGTCCCGTCCCCGGACGCGGGCGAGCGGGGCGCGGGCTCCTTCTCCGTGCGCGGGAGCGGGGCCGGCGTGCGCCTGTGCGGAGCAGGGAGCGGCCCCGAGCCGGCCGGCGCGGGCGGGGCAGGGCGGGGCAGGCCGAGCCCCCACTCCCGAACGCGGCCGTCCGCAGACCTGGCGGGACCCGGGAAGGTGCAGAGGGACCGGCCCGGCTCCGCCCCTGGGCAAGCATTTGGGAGCGCCTCGGGGCCTCGCCGCGGCCCAGCCCGCGCCCGGAGGGCAGGGTGCAAGCCCAGGGCCCGGGCTCGGGCTCCGTGGGGTCCGGACGTCGCCCCTACGGAGATGCTGTCGCCAGGAGCAGGGGCGCCCGGGCAGGCTTGACCCAGGGGCCGTTAAGGCGTCGGGCTCCAACCGTCAGTGCTCCGCACTGCGCTCCGGACCTGCTAAGGAACTTTCTGAGCCGGAGACCCGGCCTCGTTGGAGCCTTCTGGAGGAAACTGCACTGTTTTGTGTTCCTGTGTTTTCACGGATGTCTTCTATTTGTGGCAAAGGATCATGGTTTTCTTTTCTTTTTTTTTTTTTTGGAGACAGAGTCTCACTGTGTTGCCCGGGCTAGAGTGCCGTGGCGTCATCCTAGCTCACAGCAACCTCCCACTCCTGGGCTCAAGCGATCCTCCTGCCTCAGCCTCCCGAGTAGCTGGGACTACAGGCATGCACTACCATGCCCGGCTAATTTTTTCTATATATTTTTAGTTGTCCAGCCAATTTCTTAATATTTTTAGCAGAGACAGGGTCTCGCTCTTGCTCAGGCTGGTCTCGAACTCCTGAGCTCACACAATCCGCCCGCCTCGGCCTCCCAGAGTGCTAGAATTACAGGGGTGAGTCACCGTGCCCGGCCAGGATAATGGTTTTC